CTGCTGAGGACGCGGTTAACCTCCAAGAAGATATAAACAAAGTTTTCCAATGGGCAATGGTAAACAATATGATGTTCAATGAGGACAAATTCCAACTACTCCGTTATGGAAAACTGGAGGAGATAATAACTAGAACAGAGTATACTACTGACTCCGGCCATACAATAGAGCGGAAAAATAATGTAAGGGACCTGGGAGTAGTAATGTCTGAGGATCTCACTTTCAAGGATCACAACAGTGCCACGATCGCACGTGCAAAGAAAATGATAGGATGGATAATGAGAACTTTCAAAACGAGAGATGCCAAGCCCATGATGATCCTTTTCAAATCACTTTTTTTCTCTAGGCTGGAATACTGCTGTACATTAACATCTCTATTCAAAGCAGGTGAAATCGCAGATCTAGAGAGTGTACAGAGATCCTTTACTGCACGTATAAGTTCTGTCAAGCACCTTAACTACTGGGAACGCTTGGAAGCACTTGACTTGTACTCGTTGGAACGCAGGAGGGAGAGATATATCATAATCTACACTTGGAAAATCTTGGAAGGAATGGTCCCAAATCTGCACACAGAAATCACTCCCTACGAATGTAAAAGACTGGGCAGGCGATGCAAAATGCCCCCAATAAAAAGTAGGGGCGCCACTGGTACACTAAGGGAAAACACCATAAGTGTCCGGGGCCCAAAACTGTTCAACAGCCTCCCATCAAGCATTAGGGGAATTGCCAATAAACCCCTGGCTGCCTTCAAGAGAGAGCTGGACAGATACCTAAAGTCAGTGCCGGATCAGCCGGGCTGTGGCTCGTACGTCGGACTGCGTGCGGCCAGCAGTAACAGCCTAGTTGATCAGGCCCTGATCCATCGGGAGGCCTGGTCATGGACCGGGCCGCGGGGGCGTTGATCCCCGGAATAACCTCCAGGTAACAGCAGGAGACTAAGGCAACAACAAAGCTGCGGAGGCAGCTAGAAGAGTCCACATGAACAATGTAAAGCTGCTGATCGTGAAATTTTAACCACATACATGGAGGGCTAAGATGTGAAGTTCGTGTACCAACATGTCTGGGACAGGGGAGGAGAGAGGGAGGAGAGAGGGAGGAGGGAGAGGGAGGGAGGGAGGGAGGGAGGGAGGAGGGAGAGAGAGAGAGAAGAGAGAGAGGAGAGAGAGAGAGAGAGAGAGAGAGAGAGAGAGAGAGAGAGAGAGAGAGAGAGAGAGAGAGAGAGAAACAAGAAGGCCCACACCTCCCCTCTTCCCCTGCGTGGAGGGGAAACGAAGAGGGTAGAAAGGATCAAATGAAATCGAGACTGAGGTTGTGGGACAAGCAAGAATTTCCCGAGTTACTGTAACAGTCTCACACCATCATGAACACCGTGAAACCTATCACTGTATGAGTGGTAGTGGTTGTGATGAGCTGTGATGATGATGACAGTGGTGATGGTATTGAGGGTTGTGGTGATGACAGTGGTGGTGGTGAGGGTTGTGATGGTGATGATGACAGTGGTGGTGGTGAGGGTTGTGATGGTGATGATGACAGTGGTGGTGGTGAGGGTTGTGATGGTGGTGATGACAGTGGTGGTAAGGGTTGTGATGGTGGTGATGACAGTGGTGGTGGTGAGGGTTGTGATGGTGATGATGGCAGTGGTGGTGGTGAGGGTTGTGATGGTGAGATGGACAGTGGTGGTGGTGAGGGTTGTGATGGTGATGATGACAGTGGTGGTAGGGGTTGTGATGGTGCTGATGACAGTGGTGGTGGTGAGGGTTGTGATGGTTTATGGACAGTGGTGGTGGTGAGGATGACAGTGGTTTGGGGGTGAGGGTTGTGATTTGGTGCGATGACAGTGGTGAGGTGAGGGTTGTGATGGTGATGATGACAGTGGTGGTGGTGGTGTGAGGGTTGTGATGGTGATGACAGTGGTGGTGGTGAGGGTTGTGATGGTGATGACAGTGGTGGTGAGGGTTGTGATGGTGGTGATGACAGTGGGGGTGGTGGTGGGGGTTGTGGGTGATGACAGTGGGGTGGGGGTTGTGATAGGGGTGATGACAGGGGGGGGGAGGGTTGTGATGGGGGATGAACTGTTGGTGGTTTTTGGGTGCTGGTGGTAATGCAGGGGTAGTGATGTAGAAGAGAAAGGACCCCCCTCACAGGATATATCCCACACCCCAACGCTCCAAGAGATGGTTTAGAAAGGGGGAAAGAAGTGGTTTCCCCGGGCTGAGGGCTGTTATGAAGGGGGGAGGGGGGAAACAGAAAGGGGGGTGAAAAGGGGGGGGGGAGGGAGGGGAGGTACCCGGGTGGGCATCAGCTTCTGGGGGGAGGTAGTTAAGTTTGGGGTGGTGATACTCCTTATAGAGGGGCGGGAGGGTAAAGACGTACAGGGTGTGAGAGAGGGGGAGAAGTACACGGGGGGTGAGGGGGGGAAAAAGACGTATTGGAGGAGAACATTACAGGGGGTGAGACAATTTAGGGGGTGACAGGGAAGAAGAAACAATCGGGGTGAGGGGGGGGGAGAGAGGGGGGTGAAGGAAAGGGGAAAAGGGGTAGTAAGAAGGGGAGGGGGAGACAGGGGCGAGAGAGAAGGGAGAGGTAGTGGATGAGAGGAGAGGGAGATAGGGGTGAGAGGAAAAGGGAAGGATAGTAGATGAGAGGGGAGGGGGAGACAGGGCGAGAGAGAAGGGGAGAGGTAGTGGATGAGAGGAGAGGGGAGATAGGGGGTGAGAGGAAAGGGGAGAGATAGTAGATGAGAGGGGAGGGGGAGACAGGGGGCGAGAGAGAAGGGGAGAGGTAGTGGATGAGAGGAGAGGGGAGATAGGGGGTGAGAGGAAAGGGGAGAGATAGTAGATGAGAGGGGAGGGGGAGACAGGGGGTGAGAGAGAAGGGGAGAGGTATGGATGAGAGGAGAGGGGAGATAGGGGGTGGAGAGGGAAGGGGATAGGTAAGGAAGGGGATGAGAGGGGAGAGGAAGGGGATGAGAGGGGAGAGGAGAGGAAGGAGGGGTAGATAAACAATACAATAAGGTCTGGGGATACACAAATATACATCAACATATATTATTCAAAACATCAATAAAAAAACATTACTAATTATTACAATCTGATAAAAAAATATTCCCACGAAAAAATAATATATATTTCTGGACAAGTATTATCAGTAAAAGGTAATACACGGAGATTAAATATTATATCACAAAAGACTAATTATTATCCCGGATTTCATAACATTAAAATATAGTGTATATACTTGTTATATGATTTATATGGACAATATAACTCCCATACACACGCAAATTATATATATAATATATATATATATATATATATATATATATATATATATATAAAATATAATATATAAAATATATATATATTATATATTTTATATATATATATAAATTAATATATATATAAATTTAAATTTATATATATATATATATATATATATATATATATATATATATTTTATATATATATATATATATGTAAAATGGAGAATGGCAATGAATAAACAAGAATGAGTGAGGATTCTAACCAAGGTCCTGATATGTAGCAGGTCCAACGCTGTATCACTGAGCCAAGAAACTTCCTATTGTAAGCTTCTTGGTTTAGTGGCTGGGTCTCTGTTTCATGCCATGGTTCGACTCTCCGTCCATTCTCTCTCTCTCTCTCTCTCTCTCTCCTCCCATAGTCCCCCCCCCCCCCCGCCGCTACCTGCCAGCCTTAAGAAGAACGGGCCGGGAGATAGGGCGTCGGGGGTTGGGGGGTAGAAGTGGCAGACAACAATGGAAGATCATTACGGGTCTAAACGAGCAATTAAGGATGTTGACGACGCGTCCTTTGATTGGTTAACGGAGTCCAAGATGGTACTTGGACCTCTGCCTCACCTGTAACCACCTCACGACCCATAACTGCCTCACAACCACTCAGGATGGCAAGGCAGAGGACGGGTGAGGTGGTGGAATGGAAGGTAAAGGATGGAATGGGCAAGGATGGAGGAGACAAGGGAGGGAGGGAATGGTGAGAGGGAAGGGAAAAGGAGAGGAAATTGGAGGGGAGTGGGTAGGGAGGGTTAATTTGGAGAATTTCCCAAGCCTAAGTGGATTTTCGTGACGTTTTCCTTGAAGACAGTATCGTGGCAGTGTGGTCTGGTCTCTTGTGCTTATTAAATTATCTCTTTAAGAGTGCTGGATGCAGCTCTGCTATCCTGGGGAGGGACTTTACACTGCCATCTGAGCCTACTACTTCTAGCATGTAATAATGTTGCTAGAATTACCGACAATATGTTAGGCAGAACACAAGTGCAACTAAAATGTCGCGTTACTTGCATTTATGTTCTTGTGCCTAACATATTTCTTGCATGGGCTGGTAGGCCTAGAGCTTATGTTCTAACTCATGTTCTAACCCTCTGTGGCCATATATTTATATAAGATTGGTTACACAAATATGTTAGCCAAATGTGGTTAGGCTAGACAAATATTTGGGTGATAAGGGTTGGATTTGATGACCTACTAAATATGGGCCCGTAGGCCTGCTGCAGTGTTCCTCCAGTCTTATGTCCTTGTATGGAGCTATTTCAGAATTGTTTAGAGTAATGACTATAGCTTGAATCGTTCCCCTGAACAATACTACCCGGACTTCCTACTTATTTCTCCAACACTGAAAGCTCCTGAAGATGTGCTGATTACAACACGAAAGGCCTAGATGTAGCATCAAACTCCCCTATGGTTGTTTTGCATCTTATATACCTTGTTTGCATGTGTTTGTGTGTGTGTGTGTGTGTGTGTGTGTGTGTGTGTGTGTGTGTGTGTGTGTGTGTGTGTGTGTGTGTGTGTGTGTGTGTGTGTGTGCAATAATCGCAAGAGAAGCCACTTTTCAGTGCGTCATCAGCTGTGCAATGTTGCAAAGGCAACAACAGGAAAAGTAGGGTAAGTTTTGAGACTCTCTGATCGCGGGTTCTATCCCCGCCCGTGGTATGGTTTTAAAGATAACAGTGACAGAAAGACACAC